TGAAAATAAAGTTTAAAAAAATTAAAAAATTAAAAAAATGCTTACATGGAAGTAGCCTTTGATATGATTAGTGCTGTTCCAAATGAACATGCATAGATTTAGTGTTGCCTTTGAAGCTTAGTTGCAATTAATAGAAATGGCAAGTTGTTACTGTAATGAGCTGTAATGAATTTTCATGCATGGCCCAGCTGGGATTTCTCAAAACTACTGTTGCATATTAGGGCCACTTCAGAAGCAGCAGAAATAAAACAAATTACTTGAAGATATGAATAATCTCAGCATGATCCATAAGTAACGTAATGGCAATTTCCAGGTTCTGTTTTATTTCAAAATGAAATAGCATTACAAAGAAGACTGATGATGATGATGATGATGATGATGATTCCTTAATTTTTCTTCCCAACCTATTAAGACAAATTGAAATCTGTGCTGTGATTTATTGAGGTATGATGTAATCTTTTCATTACAATCCTGAATCCATTTCAAATGATATGAATGCCATTTTGAGCTTCTGGAGGAAATTTAACAAATAAATATGGGAATCGCCAATAAAAAATTAGGGTGCTGTAGCTTGGAGCCAATCCTCATTAGGATCCAGGCTGCAAAATTTGGATAATCTTACACGGTAGCTAAGAATTAAGAGTCCTTATTTTTCTTTGTTACCATTTATTCGTTATCCAGATCTTTGAAGCCCAGATTCAGTAGTCCTGCTTATCAGTGATTTTAGAAAGTAACCAGACATGACTTTTCAAAGTCTAGTTCCCCAATAGGATTCAAGGAAAATTTCTTCTTAACTTCTAAACCTTGAATTAAATGCTTTGCCTTCAAATAGGATAAAATGAGGATAAAGTAATAGTTTTGTGAAATTGTACTTTTGAAAAACAAAGTTCCCAGGTGTACCCAATTTTGTTTAATTTTGTGCAAGTTTTCATACTTTCAAGACATTTTTTTCAAACCCCAGAGGATGTGTACAGTTAATGTGTACTGTAATGTTTTTCATAGCTTACCAAAATACTGTTGCATCTTTGGCCAAATTTTTTTACAGACTGATAAAAAATTCAGGGAAAATGTTTCAGTGTTGAAAATCTGCAGTCAAGCTAAGCTTAATTTGCTGGAGATTTGCAGATTTTTCCTGATTTTGGCGAATTCAAAAAGTATCAGAGGTTAGGTGAACTAAGAGAAAGGACTTTGCAGTAGATCCGAAACCCAGACACAACATAATGGAGTAAACAGATCTACGTGTAATCTACTTCAAAAATCATAAGTAGCATGTTTAATTTAATACACTGTAGCTTGAGAGGACACAACCTGTGATGCCGTGTCTGGTTGTGGCCTTCAGTGCTTTCGGTGTGGCTTTTCAACATTCTCCAAAAGTTGCTACAAAGTTGTAATCATTCTTGTGATGGAAGAAATACTTCTTATAGGCAGAAAAATCAGTGCATGAACTATAATCAACATTTTCACTATTTTATTTTTGATTGATTTCATACATATTATTGTGTATCATCCAGGGTTGAAATCCAGCAGGTTCTGACAGGTTCTGGAGAACCGGTAGCGAAAATTTTGAGCAGTTCGGAGAACCGGTAGCGGAAATTTTGAGTAGTTTGGAGAACCAGCAAATACTACCTCTGGTTGGCCCCAGAGTAGAGTGGGAATGGAGATTTTGCATTATCCTTCCCCCAGGAATGGGGAGGGAATGTGGATTTTGCAGTATCCTTCCTCTGCCACGCCCACCAAGCCACACCACGCCCACCAAGCCATGCCCACAGAACCGGTAGTAAAAAAAATTTGGATTTCACCAGTGCTATCATCCATTGCAGGCCTCGCAATATCCACAGAGCAAACCAGCATACTATAAGGCTCAAGTCAAGCAGACTGACAGCAGTGATCTAAACCAAAAGAGATGTCCAAACATTTACAAAGGCAGTGTCAGCTATCATAGCCCAGATGAGATATCACAGCAATCTATTCTGATAATTCTGGAAACAGACACAGTGAGCAGACAAAGCTTAACTCTGCAAACACATGCTTGACTATTAGCTGACTGATTTTTTGCATTAGGTCCTGGAAAAAAAGCCAGCTTGCAAATTTGAGCCATTAGGTCAAGTATAAAGACCTTTCTGTGTACATTAACTCTTAATTCATTAATCCTTCTATCATCTGTCCACCAGGATGTCTGGATTTAGCTCACTCCCATCCAATCCGTTACAAATGTCAGACACAAATTGAGAAATGGAACAGCTTCTTTTGATTTTGAAGGAAAAGAGGAATAGAATGACACTAACATTCTAAAGGCACCGAAACTCTAGAACTCTTGCATTAAACAGCAAAAGAGACCAGATGGAGCCATTAGGAACACTATAGAGCAGTGATGGCTAACCTTTTTGCCATCATGTGCCAAAAGTGGGGGGAGCGCGTGCCCACACCTATAATTCTATGCATCCCGTCCCCGCGCATGTGCACGACCCCCACCTCCGTGCTTCCCCTGCTTTTGGCATGGTGGGCACGGTAGGCCCGTTTTTCGCCCTACCCAGGCTCCAGAGCCTTTCTAGGATCCTGGGGAGGGTGAAAACGGCCTTCCCCCCCACCCAGAGGCCCTACGGAGGTTGAAAACGGCATGTTTGCCGACTTCCAGTGGGCCCAGAAGGCCTGAAAATCAGCTGGCCGGTGTGCGCATGTGTGCCGGAGCTGAGCTCGTGTGCCCACCAATATGGCTCCACGTGCCACCTATGGCATGCGCCATCACGGCTATAGAGCAATGGCTTCAAGGCCATTGAATTTTGAATTAATTCCTACAAGCTTTTGAATTAATTCCTACTAGTAAAAAAATTGGGTCCACTGCTTGAGTGGGGATGGGATGAGGGGTGGACTAGAAGACCTCCAAGATCCCTTCCAACTTTGTTATCCTGTATTCTAAAAAAGAAGCTACCCATTACTGTTACTCTGAGTCCAAATGTAAGGAAGGAGTTTCAAAGGCTACCACTGTGACGGTTCTGAAAGTTGCTGAAAGGTGCAGAAAACAGGCTGGGAGAACATTCACATTTCTTTCCAGTACAGGTCCTCCATTAAGATGACCACAGCAGCATGTATTTTTTTACAAAGTCTGAAGCAGAATTTGGTGGGAGGTAAGAAAGCAGTGTTATCCAAAAATTGTGATATGTCCCTATCTTTTATCCAAAAATCTCAATAAATCATGTCCCATTGGAACTGTTTTAAGATGAAGTAATAGCTATCATGCACTTCTGTGAGCAATATACATTGACTATTTTGAAATGCAAAGAGAATGTCATTCCGGAGTATAGGTGATCCTCAACTTGACCAAAATGGAGCCCAAAATTCCATGCCTGAGCAAAACAGTTGTTGACTTTCGCCCCGTTTTATGACCTTGCCACAACTGATAAGTGAACCACGATAGTTGTTAATAATATCTCGGTTACGTGAATTTTGCTTGACTTTGCTTGTCAGGAGGTCACAAAAGGAGGACCCTGTGACCCGAGGACATGGCTACCATCATAAATATGAGTCAGTTACCAAGCGTCTGAATTTTGATCACATGACCAAGGGGATGTTGCAACTGTTGTGTGAAAACTACCGGTCAGGGGTCTTTTTTCAGTGCCGTAATTTCAAATGGTCACTAAATGAATAGTTGTAAACCGAGGACTATCTGTATTTAAAGTAAGAGACTTGTATGCTATTTCTATCCACAATATTGGGCTGTTTTGGCTTCTGGGAAAATACCATTTTATGCTGTCATCCTGGAAAGCTCACTGTGAATACCTCAAGGAAAGTGCCTAAATCCTTGAGATTCGTTTGAACCAGCGGAGGGAGTTTGTATCTGCAGCTTTTAAATGTTTTGAGGCCAAAATCCTGACTCTGATTTGATATGTAGCGCAGGTCAAAAAAAATCCCTTAGAGATCACATCAACTAATTCTCTCGGGCTACACTCTCACTTTCTAAAAACATCAATACAACTGTTGGTTTTGAGAGAAAGAGGCCTAGGATTGAATATTGAGTTTGAAAGTTAATGTTATACTGGCTAAAACTTAATTTTTTTTTTTACTAGATTACCTCAAAATTGCCTTCTTTTGGTTGGCTATCATCAGGCCAAAAGGATTTATCAAAGGCTGGAGATGACAGAACTTTGAACTAAAATTGGCTTCTTAATATGGAGCCCTGCAGTGCTCATTAGTAGGAATTTGTGGAAACCTGCAAATTACCTGAACACATTCATTTCTGTTTAGTGGTGTGGTGGCCTAGAGGTGGAGGCTGTGAGTTTGATCCTAGGTAGCAGCAGATATTTCTCTCTCTGGGCACAATGATAATATATCTGCTGTGAATTCCGCATTGGCAATAGGAAGGGCATCCGGCAAGTAAACACTCAGCTACATTCAGTTGCCCCAACTCCGTTCCAATGCAAGGGATTACGGGATCATTAAAAGACTAAAAAAAAATAATTTCTCAGTTTGGAGAAATGTTTTTTTTCAAAACTTGCATGTCTTAACTCTCAATCCTTTTAAGTAAGATATAATAAAATCTCTGTACCTGAGCATATAGGCCTGTGTGATTCTGGAGACGTAATTCTCCAGCATTCAGGAATCCTGGTATTTTTGATATCTAGCATATCACAATTTTTAAAGACTCTCATAAATTTTTACACCTATCTTCCAGAAATTCTTGGGGAGAAGACATGCACACTAAACTTCTTAAGATATAAAGATACAAGAAGGAAAGACAAATATTTGCTGATTGCAATAAAAACACAGCAACAGTTGACTTTATTGAATTAAAGTCAATAAAGTTATACTTTTATTTTATTCGTTACTACCAGGCACTTTCTTGGGCAGATTGTGACACATCCATCTTGTTTTTCTGCTGTTATTTTGAATAATTGCCTGCTCTTTGAACGCATATAAATAAATTTGTAATAATATAGAATCTCAGTAAAGTTTAAAATAGAAGTCTAAGGTGGTAGAAACTTCCAAACAGAAAATGACACACATTTATGAAAGAAATACTATTTTATTCACATACTTTGCAAATTATGAGAGTTTAAAATATGGTTAAATCAGAATCATAACATTATAGGCGGCCTTTTATACATCAGAATAAACTTTATTTGAAATATGTAAGGACTTTTATAGAAGAATTTGATGACTCAACTGAATAAGGAAAAAACAACAACCCTGTGGCTGGTTAAGACAAGTTCTTGAGAATTCTGGACCATTTCAGAATTAGAAATATTACATCTGTACTAATATTTCATTTATGCTGCAAATCTTTCATAAGACCCCAAACATTCATAAATGCAATGTTTTATGTAAGACAACGTACATATTATTCTACTATTCCCATACAAAACCACTGATGTATTCATATGTTCATATTTAAAATTAATATTGTAAAAGATGTTCATACATCTCACATTCCAGATAATTATCAACAGGAGAAATACATTTTCTGTATGTAACATGAGATATTAAGTTATCTCTACATTAGCAAAGCATTTGCTAAAACATTAAGAAGTGTCTTAATTATACTAAACAGTCAGCTCTTTCGTCAAGCATATTCCAGATGTGACTGAAATGCCCACCCTCTAGGGAGACTCCTCCTATTTTAATACAGAAAACAATTAAGAACTGATAACCAGGAGTGCATAAGCTATATAAAGATATATCTTGTTTTCTGACTTATCTCCATTTTTATATTACTGATGTTTTCAAAGACCTATGAACGGTTTTCTATTTTACTCTAAACACAAGGACACAAGTCCAAAATAATCTCAATATAAAAACCGATTGCTTGATTTTGGTGTCAAGAAGTGCCATAGCTGTTATTTGTGTGATAGCTTCCAAATCCCTCAGTGGCAAATTTATTTTAACGCACAAAAACACTTGGTGGACAAAACACATTCATCTTAGTTGTGCTAGCTTCTTGGAATGGCTTGTTTAGTGGAAACCAACTTGGTTAATTTTGGGTACAAACACCAATCCTCTGCAAGTAACTTTCCCAGGCTAGTTTCCTATACGCCTCTGCTTCAGCCCGGCGATCTGATGCAGACAAGATGCCCCGTCCTACAATGATGATATCTGAATTTCGTTTTCTAATAACCTCTTGTGGACTTAGGTACTTCTGCCCAAGGCTATCACCTGCAAAAAACAACATATATTTTTACCGTTTTCAGCTATTTTCATTTTAGTAAAATTTTTAAAAATTACAGAAAATGCCAGAAAAAAATAATTCCTTATAGAATAGATCCAAGTACAATGGAAAACCATACAGAAAGGGGAAAAATTCTTCCAAAGAATCTCTTCTCTTCTTATTGCATAAGGTAAATAAAATGCCAATATAGGTTTATTATAAGTATAAAGTAATGCAAGAGGTGGCAAAAAATAATAACTTCTATTTCTTACAGTGGTGCTAATAAAAATTAGTTTTTTACAAGCTGTGGAAATGGTTCAGCGGAGGCTCAGTTGAAGTCCATCACCAGGGGAAAAAGTAAATTTCAAGCCAACAATTAGAAAATGAATGAAAAAATAGCTGCAAATATCAAACATCCTTATACAACTCTTTATGTATCCACATTTATAATAAAATCAGTTCTGGTTTATGCTGAAAAAAGCACAGAGAATATCACAAATATTCTGAAGTTACAAAAAAAAAGGTTTTTTTTAAATCCAGCCATTATTATTTTTATAAAGAACTCAAAACAGTGACTATACCTAATGCTCCTTCCTCTCCAATAAACCATTTGAAAATTTTACTTTTCAAGTTGACAAAAGGAAGAGTTTCACAGCGTTCTCTCGTGCATATCTTCCTATTGTATTTTTTTAAATGACCATGTTTTTGAAATTAACAGGCAAAATACCACTTAAATACACCTTCAAAGCAGAAGAGTGGCAACAGAGCATAACCATCTAAAAATCTTGCTGCCCCAGTTCATGCCACTTAATTCTTAAAAAGGCATAGTCAATAGATGGGTATCCAAATTCTGCATGAATAGATCTGGTAAGGGGCTGTTTATTACCTTCCGTTGTAATGGGGTTCATTATCAGACTGTACTTACCACCAACTTTAAAGAAAAAAAATTACTCCAGCAAAAGTAGAAATATCCATAGCAAAAAAGCTTTTAATATTTTCTTCTAATCAAAAAAGTAACATTTATATCAGAGATGTGTGTCTCTTATGAAAGCCGTTGGTTGGTTCCTCAATTAAGTTCTATTGTAGATGCTGTTTATAACCAAGCCAATTCTTACTCTAGTCAAGGTTACACATTCTAAAATACCTTGTCCTGTTAAAAATGCAATATTTATTCTAAATAAGCCACTCTAATTACAATACTCACCTCCAGCTTGCATCTGGACACCTGGAGTTAAGTGAAGAAATTCAGGTTTTTCAGTAATTCTGGACCCAGAAATAAATCCCAGAACAAAATCGGAGTGATCTTCAGCCATTTTGACCTAGAGAACATGCACACATAAGACCTGTCACACAACCAGGTAAATTTGCTTTAGACACACTGTAAAACGGAAGGGGGAAAAAAAAAACCTAAACTGTGGTGCTATTATAAAAGCCAAAACACACAATATTAAAAAATCACAGCAATGTTGTTATTGACCATACTGACGTGAGTCACAGATGCACATCTCCCTATTTGCAAAAAAATATTACAGGTAGTCCTTGATTTGACAAGTAGTTCTTAAATGAGTTTTGCCCCATTTTACGATCTTTCTTGCCACAGTGGTTAAGTGAATCACTGCAGTTGTTAAGTTAGTAACACTGTTGTGAAGTGAATCTGGCTTCCCCATTGACTTTGTTTGTCAGGAGGTCACAAAATGTGATCACATGAGCCCGGGACACTGTAATTGTCATAAATATGAGCCAGGCGCCAAAGGTCTGAATTTTAATCACATGACCATGGGGATGCTGCAATGGTCCTAAGTGTGAAAACGGTCATAAGTCATTTTCAGTGTCTTTGTAACTTCGAATGGTGACTAAATGAATAGTTGTTCACTGAGACCGTCATAAATATGAAGCAGTTGCCAAGCAATCAAATTTTGATCGGGATGCTGCAACAGTCGTAAGTGTGAAAAATGGTCACAGGTCACTTTTTTTCAATGCCACAGTAATTTTGAATGGTCACTAAACAGTAAGTTGTAAGTTGAAGACTACCTGTATTTATCCCATAAAAGAAAAAATATCTCAATCACAAAACTGCACTAGCTCTTATATAATCATCCTTTCTTTGTATCAGAATCTTTTCACAATCCCCTTCCATTCTTGCCTACAAACTCCCAAGCTTCCTAGAATTATTCTAGTTTTCACTGTCCTTCTCTGGCAAGGATTTCTCTAATGTACTAATGGAAACTGCACTTCCATAATAAGCAGCTTTTTCACACTGCCGGAGAACAGGGGAAACGATGGATGCTTTTAGGTACTTGAGATGCTTTTGTCTTTCAACGCTATTCAGATGAAAGTTCCAACTTACGACGGCTTTCGTATAGTCTCCAGTGGCCAGGGACTCGCTGGAGCTCATCTCACCAATCAAGAGACACCCGCGTTGTAAAGGATGCCCTACTTCTTTCAGCCCTTTAAGAACGCCTGGGCCAGGAACTGCATGGGCATTAACCATATCTGACCATGATGCTATTTTGAAAACACCGCCTGAAAGAAAGAATAGGCAAGTTAACAACTATGAGAATAGGTGCGGCTGAAAAAGCTGTGCAAACTGACCATAACTCCTCTTTCACCTTTTTTATTTTTATGGAAATGTTGCCAAGGATTGAGAACACGAATCCATGTTCCAAAACAATCCAAACAAATTACAATAGACAGCTACAGAGTGGGAGTGGCTCTCTTCTGCTTCATCGTACTATTCTGCCCTCTGCCGTAAGTGAACGGTGGCTGTGTTCAAGTTGAGGATGGTCTCAGGGACTTAGATAGAACCTAGTTTAAAAGAACCTGTCTGTCTGGCTACCTGAATCAAAATAGCCCTGGAAGACAATCCCATGGGCTGGAGAGAAAAAGATCCTTCTTCATCCTAAAGCCAATAGATCCCAGCACCTAGGTGTCAACTAACTGTATCAAGAGCAGAATGATCAGCCAAGAATGGCAGAAACCTGACCGTATGTGATAAAGAGGGGAAACATGATTTAAAAATAAAGCAGCTAAACCATTGAAGTCTATTATGGGCTGTAGAACAGAATTCAATGCTATGAAGATCTGCACACACAAAAAAAAGATTACTGAGATGTGTTTATGCTAGAGTTAGCACCAGTGGGGAAAGGCTCAGCTAGATAAATATATTTCAATGTCCAAATGCTCCTTTGTCACAAAATCACTTTCCACGAGATGGGCGTGGAATAGTAAAAATAAAGAAATAAAAAATAACATGCATGCTCAGCACTGAGTTTTGATAATGCTTGGAATAAAATTTATTTTAAGAGAAGTTCAGGAGGTTTGAAAATAAAAAGCAAATTAGTGCTCAATCAAATACATAGCAATTGTTTGACATTCAAAATATCCCAACATGTGGAAAAGCCCTGGAGAGGTTACAGTGTAGTCGGGAAAGTCAAATTTACCTTTGTACTGATGCTTCACTGTATTTCCAATGTCTGCAAATTTTCGGTCTTCAAAAATCAAGAATTCGTGCCGAGCAGCAAGCACACTCAGCTCTTTCACTACTTCCTGAGTAAAATCATCCAGAATATCAATGTGAGTTTTCAAAACGCAGATGGATGGTCCCAGAGTGTCAGCCAGCTGGAGCAATTCTTTGGAACTGTTCACATCAGCAGAAAGGCACAAGTTAGACTGTTTTTTCTCCATGAGCCTGAGAAGACGAGCAGCCAGAGGATGGATGCCTGGTAGCTCAGCCCGAGAAGCGTAACTTATTTCTTTGCATACCCTTTTCACATTTTGCTCAGATGGTTTAAAAGTGTTGTCTTGAATGAATTTTTGCACTCTTACTACCGTTTCAGAAGTAATTTTTTCCTGCTGTTCAAGGATTTTGAGAATTTGAGACAAGCTGCACACGGAGTGCAGCCTAATTCCACGTTTTTCCAACATGGCTTTCCCTCCTTGTTCTCTGTCCAACAGCACAATGGCATCGGTAACCTTAAGTCCCTCTTTCCAAAGGACCTCTGCCGTTTCCAAGACACTTGAACCGCTGGTTACTATGTCCTCAATGATCAGACAAGTCTCTCCTGAATTAATTGTGCCCTCCACAAGGCGTTTGGTTCCTTTAAGAGGAATAGAAAGGATCGAACATTACTATAAAATCCTAAAATATTATTGCTATTAATAAATATATATATATGTGCAACACATCATTCAAAAAATCATTTCAGTGTAACACTTTTGCACACATATTTATTAATTGTGCACACAAAATTTACCTCAAAACTCTTTTCTACCAAAAGAGAATAAGCTGATAGCAATTCACTGTCAGTCATATCTTGCTTATTTACTATTGATACTCCGGGTTCCCCACCTGTGGTCTGTGGACCCCTTGGGAGGCACGATGTCATCACAGGGGGGTCTATGAAGGCTTGAAGAAATGTTATGATTTAAATCTTAAGTTTTGGGGGTTCATGGTCATGGTCCGTGACCACAAAAGGTATTTAAATGGAGTCCTTAGTGAAGAAAAGGTTGAGAACCACTGACTTTTATCATCAATATGTAAAATTAAATGTTATTCTTTTTACCATGATCTTTGGCTTCTTTTCTCCGTATAAGCATTGGAATCTTGTTGGTTGAGCAGATTATAGTCGCCAAGGGCAAAGCTGTGTACGGAACTCCACAGACGGAATCATACTTGAGTGCAGCATCCTTCGCTGAACAGAAAAGGAGATCTGCTACCTGAGAAATTTTTTAAAAATGTATTTTTATTAGCACACAATATATCTACCAGCAAGTGAAAGTTTAAAATGAGTTTTCCAAATCCTCCTGGGGCAACATAAAAATTTGGTCTCTGCTTCCAATTGAAAAAATGATCACTTATTCAACAGCTTAAACAACTGGATAATTAAGACCGCATTACATTAGTTGTTTCTTTAGCATCATTTAAAACACAATGGAGACCAAAGAAACAATTGCTCCTTTATCAAATATTCAATAAATAATAATCTGAAATATGTCTTTGATTTATATGGGCAAAAATTATTCACCTCACTTATATAACTCCCTTTTCCCCAATCCTTAATTTGTGTTTCCACTTACTCTTCAGATTTTAATTTCTGAAATAAAGCTTCCTGACCTTTGACAATCATCTCCAAAACACCCAACTTCATAATAGTATTGATGCTTAAACTTCGAAGCATTTTCTACATACTTTCAAGAACAAACCAAATCTATCAGTCAAGAAAAAGTAAGCATTTTGACTTCTAGCAATCAATTAAGTGGGTTCACACACTACTCTAACATATACATCATCAGCATATTACAACTGGGAAATAGTGAGATGCCTGCTCTTCTTAAAAAATCAGTTATGTAGCTCAGAACTAACTTCAATTTACTCCAAGGATCAGGTGGCTATATTGCTAAGAAATCTATTTTGTACTTTCAGCTTTAGCTGATATATAAATTGTAACCTTTCCTGGACTAGGATAGTCTGGTCAGAATTATGCATATTTTAGTAACACCTCTGTGATGTTTTAACTTATTACCCTGTGAAAATGGATTGGAACTTTTACCTGGTATATATATTGCTATTTCTTAAAAGGACTAAGCGGCACAGAAAACCAGATACAGTTATATCTACTCCCCAGGTTCTGTCCAGGCTATGTCTTCAAATCCAAACTTTGCTGAAAAATTCCTACAAAGTTTATAAATACTAGTCTTTGTGATTCTTGGAGAAGAATTTTTTCATAAGCTTGGCTATGAGAAATGCTTACAGTCCAAGAAACAAAATCAGAGCAAAAGGGTCTGCCTAAGCCTGACTGATCTAAAAATCCTATCCACTCCTATATCGATGCCCAGCAAACAATATGGGTATGTCCATATGGGCATCCTACCTTAATTTTAGCTTAAATTACATTTAATTACGGCTACTATTATTTGGGATGCAAATATGGGTAGCCTTCGAGTGACGACAATTGAGTCCAACATTTATGTTGCTAAGTGAAACATTTAAGTGGGCTTGTCCCATTTTACAACTTTTCTTGCCACATTTGGTAAGTAAAATCACTTTTGTTAAATTAGTAAGACTCTTTGTTAAGTGAATCTGGTTTTCCCATTGTCTTTGCTTGCCGGAAGATCAGAAAAGGTGATCACGTAACCCCGGGACACTGCAATCGTCGTAAATGTGAAATCAGTTGTCAAGCATCCAAACGTAAATGACGTGACCACGGAGGAATGCTGCAACAGTCATTATGTGTTTTTTTTAAAAAATGTTCATAAGTCCCTTTTTTCAGTGCTGTTGTAACTTCGAACGGCCATTAAGTGAGCTGTTGTAAATCGAGGACTACCTGTAATGGGACAATCTCCGATAACAGCAAAGAGCTAAAGATTTCCACTGGTTTTGCTCATCCAATGATCAGCCAGAACTTTGCAACCCTGTGCTGGTAAGCTAATACAGCATTATTTGTCCAATGGGATTTTTTTCAAGGCTTTTTGGTCAGTCCCTCTGAAGCACCAGTTGCTGTTAGAAAGCCGGGATCACACAACCTCCTGACCTGTCGGGTATACACGTGAACTGCTCTTCTGACTAGCAAAGGAATCAAGGCAGCAAAAAACGCGCCTTTTGCCGACTCCAGAGTGCAGCTTCGGCAACAGCCCAGGAATTCCCGCGGCCGCTATTGGCTGGCTGGATTCCACAGGCCCCGCCTTCTTTCCCCCTTTCATCTATTTTAGCCCCGCCCCCTCGCAATAACCGCTTTACCGCTCACGCCGGTCGAGCTTCGCGGGCTGGACGGATACCTTATTTAGCAGCGCCGGATACGACACGAGGACGCGGAGGTCGATATAGACCGGGGAGACCAGGCCGCTCTTCAGGACGAACTCCCCGAAGCGCACAGCCTGAACTCCGTACAGCTCAGACGCCAACGACTCCATGGCGCTTTTCGCTTTTCTCCGTACCTCGCGCGAGACGGAGAAGGCGTCGCGTGCGTCGCGGACCTTGTCGCCGAACCAATGACGCTATCAAAGCAGTCGAGTTGAAACCCGGAAGCGGCAAGTGACGTCGCACCAGGTCAGGAAAATTACGTTTGCGCCCTCTGCCGGCGTGGAGGAGCCGATGATGGGCGTGGCTGGAGAGTTTCGCATTGCTGAATAGGGTTTAGTAAAACAGAAGGAGAATCTAAAAGTGTTGCTACAGGTTTCAGTTCACAAATCATAGTTTTACCCCGAACACGCCCGGATAGAAATTGGTGGCATTTGGAAAATGAGCATCATGGGGAGATCTTAGTTCAAATTCCTTCTTTTTGACTGTGCTGTCAGTTCTAGATAATGTTTATCTCAAACTCTTTGAGAGGATGAAAATCAGACATGACTTGTGTATGTTGCCTTTTGTGCATCAGCTTTGGTGTTCTCTAGAGTCCAAACTGTCCTAACATGATGACCTCCAAATGTCAATTTATTTACAGTTAAATGTAGAGACTGCGTTCATCTGAAGCAGAAATAATAATTGTCATTACATTGAAAATAACAGGGCCACATGGGCAGCCACAGCCAATTGAGACTTGAGGCTCTTATAATTCCCAACTGGTATTGATAAACAGCAAAATAGGAGGAAAGCAAATTTGGAAAAGTTGGTTTATATCGTAAGTGCACACGTGAATGAGAAATGCACATGATTTAGTTCAAGGAAAGTTAGTGCTAAGCCAGTGTTTCCGAAACTTGGCATTTTTTAAGATGTGTGGACTTCAGCTCCCAGAATTCCCCAGCCAACACTGTTGGGCGAATTCTGGGGAGTGAAGTCAATGCATCTTAAAAATGCCAAGATTCAGAAACACTGCTCTAAACCCGTGAAGATCTATGCTTCAAAAACATTGCTGTTGGTGCAACTTTCCTTCTGAGTGAATGTTGAGATTGTATTGCAAATCTGATTTATTTGTACAAGATATTTTGAGCATATCTTTTTGGTGAAAATGAGCTGTGACATAGTCTTAACATATTTCCACTTAAGATAGCTGAGCCTTAAAATACTAACTCCTCACCCCCATGTTTAGTTATAATTGATAAAACATGTACATAAGTCTTAAGTCTAAAGTTTCAATATACAGTTGAGTAGATTAATGTACTAAAGAAACAGGAATCTGGTACGAAGTCCAAATAAATGGGAAAAAATCTGTGAGCTCAGGCCTTTTTTTATCTAATCCCTCATTACCTAGTGTTTGTGAAGTCAAGGTCATGCTCTTGCCAGTTAATGCTATAGCTGAGTACATCTGATGTAGAAGAGAGTTGACAATGAGTCTTTGCTCCATATTCAATTCAGACCTATATAGGGCAGGGCTGGGTTCTACCTACCTTTACTACCGCTTCACACATGCGCAGAAGCTTCCTGATGACATCGGGGTTGGTGGGCGGAGCCTCCCACCGGTTTTACTACCGGTTCTATAGAACTGGTCTGAACCAGGGGCAACCCACCACTGATATAGGGGTCCTGCCTAGTATAGTAGATCTCTGCTTCTATGGCTCTGGTGCTTAGTGCCTGTTCTTATGCTATGACCAGTGCCGCCTTTTCATCCAGCTGTTGCTAAGATTTCCCGATATCTGCTATCTCAGCTTTCTGTCAGTGGTAACTCCCATGCAGGGCATTGTCTTGCTATGGTGCTTCCTCTGCTTGATCTTCCATATCTGCTGCCTCTGTCCTAGATGAAACTTACAACATCCAGAGTTACATCAGTAAGATGGCTGATGCAGATAATGCCTATATCAAGGCGTACATCAATTATATATATAAACACACACACACACACACACACACACATATAAACTTATATATACATATATAAATTATATATATAAACCCAGTGCATTCAGAAAGTACCCCCTTCACTTTTGTCAATTTTGTTATGCTGCAGCCTGATTCTACAGTTATTGAAATTCTTTTTTTTTTCCTCGTTAATCTACACTCAGTGTAGATTATTCTTTTGTTCCTAGAATGGGGTTGGTAATGTCAGACCTTTATAATTTAAACGTGGCAGTTTGCATCTCTTAAAATTTGAAACATACTCTTTTGAAAGAACTGCTTTGTTGTAAACAATTTTGTGTTTTTTTGCACTAGGTAAATAATTCTTAGACAAAGTTTGGGACAATAATGCAGCTGTCCTCTTTGGGCAGCAAAGAATAAATCATGGAATATTAAATTTAACAATGCTGGAATTTAAAACAATACTATTGAAATACCTATGCCGTCAGTATGTTACTAGTCTAATCTTATACATGTTTACTTGGAAATAATTTCTGTTATACTGAATAGACTTTACTTCTAAGGAAGTGTAGGCAAGAGAGCAACCTGTGTTGCGATGTGCTAATGATTCCAAATATGTTGCTTTATGTAGACCACTCCATCATTTAAAATTTTTAATGGTCACTACATGATGGATAAATACCACAGCACTTAATTATATTTTAGACCAGGGGTATCAAACTGGCAGCCTGTAGGCTGGATGCATCACACGCAGCTCATGCCCAACCTAGCTCCGCGAATGGGAAAAACGTCGTGAAACGTCACGTGATGGCAACGTGACACCGTGAGTTTGACACCTGTGCCTTAGACTCATATAACGTACTCTGCTGGGGTCTATAGGACTCCTACATTAAATAAACTTTTTTTAATTAAAAAAGGGCCAAAGCCTTCAGATCTTGAGAATACAAAATAGTGCAATATTGGGTGATCATATTTGGGCATTTTTATTTTTGGGGCATTTTTATTTTTTTTCCTGTCATGGACACCTGCTATATTCTCGCAGACCCCCTAATGGATCCTAGATCACAAGTTGAGGATCATCGATGTAGGCCAAAATAAAAACTTCTACTCACTGAATGCATTATATATGGCTTAGTCGATTTTATCAGAACAATTAATTATATATTCTAAAACAATCCAGTGCTAACTCTTTTATATATTGCATTTATAAGGAAGGTAGTAGCCTAAAATGTAATATTTTTTTTATCCATAGAGAACATACGTTGCCAAAGAATAGGAACATTACAACATTACATATGAAGAGGTATAAATAAAATATTTACAAAATGCTTCTTTACAAAACACATATGCATACAAATTGAAATTAACAATAAAATAATACCACTTAAGGCAGACCAGCAAAAGACTGAAATTTGTTTAAGGCTGTGAAATAAGTTCGCATCTTGACCTTTGAAAGGATAGGAATAGGGATTATTTAGTCTGATTATTTCCTTTGTGGAAATCCCGACAGCATCTCAGATATATGGTTAGCTCCATCAAAAATACAACCACCCATTACTATACTACCTTTCCTACAGTTCTCACTATTGGTGGGACCTTACACAACAGCTGCAAGTCCATTGTAGTAATAGTGTAATGCAATGTATCTCTATGAACAAGACCCACTGAGTTGAATGACTCATACATCAGAATGTTTGTAGGACGGTACTCAAACTGTTCATCTTGGAATTTATTGGGGCTTACTCCTAAGTAAATATGGAAAGAGGTATATCCTATAATGTTCTTCACATGACAGAATATATGTCTATTGTGGAGTCGCATGGACAAAATCAGAATAATTTGCTAGCAAAATACAAAGACCTGATTAAAACACTAGCACATAAAAATAGAATGTAAAATATGGCTTAAATAGAACAAGAGTTTTCCTATTTTGAAAGTATAAATAAGCCAACTAATCCTGACATTATGTTGACAATCATTAATATAATGATTTTAAGAACGTATATTAAGGAAGAAAGGAGTGGGTCTGATTTTATTTTGCTAAGAAAGCACCATCATCTGATGAATCATAGATGCTCGAAATGAATAGGAACGAAAAGAAGATCCATGGCACTTTCAGAATATTTTGAGATTCGAATGGTGTACAGCCGTTCTGAGCTACATGCTAAAGGACCCAAATCATTGCTAGCCACACTTGACCACATGCAATCAGTGGTTCTTTAAGAAAGAACATGCAGCTGTGTCAGGCAGACCCAAGACACTGAATAAGGGCCAGAATAATACATCTGTTTGCAGCCAGTCTCAAACTACTTTGCTAACATTGTCTCACAAAACAAGATTTTCATATTTTGACAGATGGGCTTTAAAAAAAAAAACATCCCGCCCTCTTTTATTTGTGTAGCATCTGATTGCTCTTGATGCAAAAAAAAAAAAAAGGAGGAGTTATTTGGACTAGATAGGTTTTACATCCACATTACAGAGCCCTTTGAAGTCACAGTTGCTTTAATAACTGAAGAAACACTGTCAGATTTGTGTCACAATTTATGCTTATTCTATGGAGCACCAGTCACAATATCACCGGGGTTTATCCCAATGTTTGCCTGCAGTGGAGATTTCAGCAAAAATTCATAGCAAACTACTCTGTATAAAAGTTGTACATTTTTTTTTAAAGGATCACACTTTAGAGACTCAAATCGGGAGCATTTGTGAACATCTGATCCAATAGTGGGTTTCAATTTCAGTCGCTACCGGTTTGCTTGCGGGGGTGTGCATACTCATGCGCACACTCATGCTTCTGCTCATGCATAGAGACATCCGGGTGGGTGGGTGGAGCCTCCCGCTACGGGTTTGCCCAATCCGGAGCAACCCACCACTGATTTGATCAATGTATATGTAGAGTAGCAGAACTGGATACCCAGGTTGGCAATTGTAAAGCTAATGGCTACCACAGCTTGAAGAAAGGACATTTAAACAAATTACATCCATAAATAAAATGGCGATGCTTTTGTTAGATTGTTCCATGTCTAGCAAAAATTGCCCATAATGTGCCACATTTACTTGGAAATATGTGGCATTGTTTTCAGCTAGATTTACTCATTAGTAAATATATGTAGCAGTGCAGCATAGATCTTAAGAAAAGGAATAGGTGTGATTTTAGGATCCAACTTTGGTTGAATTTTGG